CCCAAAACCCCAAAACCCCAAAACCCCAAAACCCCAAGCTATCTTGGTCAACACTGAATATTTAGGATCAATATTATATAAGTGCATTTATTCCTACAAAACTCAGGAAAACATTATTTTGCTATGGTAGTAAATAATCTTAAAAATTATTTATTTAATTGTCTCAAGACATTCAATAAATATAGCTGAAAGGGTAAATCAATTTCAGCTGTTCTTTAATGAGGCTGGTGAGAAGGTAGAATTTACAGAGTCAGAAACAGTGCCCAACAAATTAGGCTGCTGAACATAATAGGAGGTTTGTTGAGAGATATTTTTATGCTATTGGATATTGTTTCTGACTATGTGGATACTAACTTTTCACCAGCCTTATCAAAGAACAGCAGAAGTCAGGTTAATCATTCTTTGGAGTGACTTGAGTGGCTTAGAAAATTAAGTAAATACTTTTCAATCACTATTTGCTATAATTTATGATAAGCTTTGACACACTTGAAATTCAAAATGATTTTTAAGGTAAGACCATGAATTCTGATAAATAGATTACTACACAGCATGTCCTAGCTTATATACACGAAATCTACTGAGCCTTTCATTTATCGATGTGGAATTTCACATCTTTTTTCAGACATCACTCAGAACAATATTGAACTTCTTCTCATTGACATTGAATAATGAGAGGTTTGCGTAAAAAGCAATACTCTCATTTTCCTCACCTCAGAACTTTTGTCTTCTCGTATTCGAAGAGAAAATTGCCAGTTTTATCAGAAGCTACTTCAAGCATTAACGTATTTGGTACAAAAAGACCAACGTCCATCATGTAAATGGGACCCCAATTTTCAATACATTCTCCTGGGAAGCTAATTCCTGCTTTCTCATGATCTTCAAATGAGTCCTGGTTTTCTTTAAGTAGATCTTCTTGACAAGACAGGGTCATCTGTTGACTGACCTCTTTTACAATTTCATCAATACTTTGACCTTCAGCCAACTTCCAGAGTCTGATTTTATTCTTTGATAATTTGTATCCGTATTCGTCAGAATTTAAGTTATTTATAATTCTCTCTAAAAGGGCATCCAATGTGTCTCTTGCGCTTGCAAAAATTGAGAGAGGACGGCTAACATTCTCAATATCCCACTTTTCTTTATGAGGGAGGATAATTAGCTTTATTTCACTCAAGTTAGTTCCAAGATTTGCTGAATAAGAAATTGATGATACATAAAACATTTTAACAGTAGTTCCTCCGTATCTTGAATGAAAGAAGTTCCAAATTTTTTCATTCACAATTATGTAATCAATGTTTAGCTTCGTTTCTTTTTCCAAAATGTGGTTGTAATGACTTTCTGGATCAACATCATTGATAAACTGATCCTTTGGGATAAACAGAGATGCATTATCTATTTCTCTAACTTCTGTTGACCTATTTTCATCAAAGTCTGGAATGGTATTTGACTTGAATCAATCAAAATAGCAAGTTCTCATCCAGTGTTCAAGCCACTCGACGCTCAGAACATAGCAAACACATCCTGGATTATTTATTTATTAGATAATTATTTTGGGGGAAGGCTCAGCATTCTGTACTCGTGAACAAGTTCTCTTCAGTGGTCGATCCAATCATCAGGGTGATCTTTAGCACTCAATGCTAGTTGTCTCTCATACTCTTTGTAATAATGACCAACACTACGTCCTTTGGCTTCTCCCTTGGCGGCCTCTTCAGGCTGAGTTGATTCCATTTAATAGGATTATTTAATATTATATAAATCTTGGGGTTTTGGGGTTTTGGGGTTTTGGGG